TAAAGGTTTATATAAGGACATAGTAAAACTAGTGGGCAAAAGATAAGCTATTTAATAGCTTCAGTATATTTATAGGGATCTTGAATATAAAAAAGTATTAATAATGTTAATTCCAAGTTCCAGGTTCTTGGTAGTATTTATCTTTTAGTTTTCTAATTATATCTAAACCCAACTTAAGAATAAAAGTTATTAAATTTCAGAACTAATTAGAATTCATTTAGTCTGCCCTATTTGAGAGTGTAGAATGACCTCAAATCAGGTCATGATATCCTCTATTTTTTTATTTGGCACTAAACCATTCATGGTAGTAAAAACTTACCTTAGGGTAGTGATAAACATCAGCAAGACCTTTTGACATTGTGTAATGTGGAAGATGAATTTAACGTGGTTAAGAACAGAATTACACTTTTGGAAGAACTCTGGATAAAATTGTGCTTATAGGATGTTCTAAAGTCTCAGGAGAGGGACTTATGAGATCATTGTAGACCTCTTAAGGTGCTTAACCAATTTGTGGTTCCTTGTAATAAAATGTTAGCAAAACCAAGACTGCTATCAAGGATAATTATGTTGACTTTAACTCATGAAACAAAACATCATAGCATTGAAATCAGATGATTTCATTAATAAGAATTAATGCTCGGTTTTGCTATTGTGGTGCTTCCAATTTTATCTTCCAATATTATGCTTATCGATCCATATGATTATTTTGATCTATTATAACACTATTTTTCCAGTATTCATTTTGTAACTCTAGTCATGCCTCTGCCTGTCCATAGTGTTTTTCTTTTTTGGCTGAGTTATCTTGCACCTGACCATCTTCCACAAGTTGCTGCTTGTATATATTCACTTAATTCTCCAAATAGTCAATCATTTTAAATTTAATCTGATTCTCCATGGTGTTAACTGTCCCACTCAACTAGATGTATGTAAATTTAACGAGCATGCTGTCTTGTAAAAATCCATATCCATGAATGAAAATATTGACTTTAACGTTTGTAATTCAGTTGAAAAAATGTCCACTCTCTGGTTGCTATTCTCTGCTTGATTGCTCCTTAGTGCTCTAATGCACGTATGTGCACAGGTATTAATATTACATCTTTTCTCCCTCTCAGGTTTGCCAAAGACAATGTGGAAAATATTTCTTTTATACCAATATTTTATCTAGTATGGAGTCAAGGTGCCTAAACACAGTAGGAAACTGGTAATTTCCTGGTTTGTAGGAACTTCTGGCTCCATCCAATTCATAGGAAGAATCTTTGGAATATCTTAATGTCTGCTTGTTTGACCTGGTTTCCAGGTCATGGCTGCCACTGACTATTGGGTGTCTTTGTGCAAGTTACCAAAAGATGTATCTTTTCATGCCTCCAGGTGGACACTGCACCACAAAGAGTCACACAGATTGGTGAATGCAGTTGGGCTGAAGGAATTTCAGCCCCATTCACTCCTTGATCAGGTCTTGCTTGTCAGGGCTGAATCGTATAGCGACCCTCTTCTAGGTCACTGAGGTTTGGTATGGTTCTGTTTGTGTTTCCTGTAAGAATGATGGATTTTAGCTTGGCTGGCCCTCTGTCATTACCACTGCCTGAATATTTCTACCTCTGAAGCTACAACTCATTCTCGTCACTGTTGTCTGAAGATTCTTGCAAATCTTCTAGGAGCAGCAGTTGTTCAGTGTTCTAGGCTGGAGCTGTGAGTATTACCTCTAGCTCCAGTTCCATCTACCAGAAAATTATCTGCATCTCATATGTTTGTCTTCAATTTATCCAACAAATATTTAAAAAGTGACCCCTGTGGTCTATGTGATATGAAAGAGGCAGCAAGTATAGAAAAATTTATTTTAAAAGTTATCTGTGAGGGAGAAGGAGAAAATCATGCATAAAGGAGAGCGAGAGTTGAGGGAACGTTCTTCTTTTTTTCCTTTAATCCATTAAAGACTAACATATTTATATATTGATACCCACCCAACTGAGAATAGTTTAGTAAAATATATTAGAACAGGATAATTGATGTGCAATGTCCTTTTTAGGAGGTGGGAAGAAAGAGGATCCCATGCATAAATGAATGTGATTGTCTTTGAATTCATGGCAGGGATCAGTAAGGAAAGAGATTATGTGCAAATAAATTGGTAAAACAGTAAACAGGATATTGATATCTTTCTTTTCACAGAGAGACTGAAATTTGCTTATTGAGAATGACAGGTAGAAGTGGTAGTTTCATAGTTCCTGGAGAATAGCAAAAGTTTAAATTAAGTAACTTAGGGAATGTGAAAAGAAGAGACCAGTAGGATTTCCCATAAATGTTGTAGGAATTGGTGAATCAAATAATTGGCTTGCACTGGAGAAAATGGAAGGGTCAAGAAACTGGAGGTTTTTGGGGGGTCAGGAAAAAGTTGGTCTGGGAATAGGAACTGTGAAAAGATGGAAGATTGAGGTCAGATATAAGGATTATGGAGATCTTGGAGATGCCTGAGTTGGAGCAGTTTTTAGATAATGAAAAGGTCCAAGTGTGGTCACAAGGACTGGAGCTCAGGATGGTGCAGAAACAAAGGTTGCTGGTGGTGAGGAAGCCAAGGACGCTCTGGGGCCATCGTGGGTGATAGCAAGGCATTGGGTGTCAGAGGAATCAACCCGAGGGATTGGCAATGTAAGCATTCAGTCAGATAGTATTAGCCCCCAAGGAAATGGAATTTTAGATGATAATGGAGATAAATGATATGGAAATAAGAATGGGAAGTTAAGATAGACCAGAGTTCAAATCTAAGCTATAGGATGATGGTCATCTTAAATAATTTTCCTAAACCTCAGCTCTTTGATTAATAGAAGGGATACCTCAAATGGTTATTATGATTAAATAAATAATGCTTATGTTAAGTGTTTAGCACAGTGCCTGGCTCAAGAATTTAACCATTATTTAAGATTACAGGAATATTAGGGGTATTTATGAAATGGTTGGGTGAGAAGGATGGTTCACAGAGCAGGTTTGGAATGAAAATGGGAGGAAATGTGAGCAACCTGAGAAGTTTGGGTTTTGAATGAAATTTTTTTGCTTGTGTCTTAACCGAATCCTTCCTCTCAGTAGCCTTGGATTTGTCTTGATTGTGGATTCTTTACCCACCCTGCCCCAAACTCCTATCAATTTAGTGTGTATTTACTGTAGCCAAGTTCTCCACAATCCTATTTTTTTAATTTAGGTTTTGCTTGGGGGTTCCTCATCTTTTATGACCTTGATACTTTTGAAAAATCTTGGTTAGTAATTTTGTAGAATGCTCTCAATTTGAGTTTGTTTGATTTTTTTATTTTTTTCTTGTGATAGCTTGAAGTATATTTTGGGAAGTATTCATAGATATGAATAGCTCTCTGCCTCCCAGAGAGCTAGGATTACAGGCGTGAGCCACCATGCCCGGCAAAGTCAATGTATATTAAAACCATGAGCTACAAAGTATTATGCAACAATTTACATAATTCCATTTTACATTTTAATTCCATTAAATTAAAGTTTAGGCTTAGATAATTGTGATTCTTTCTCTGTTTTTTTCTTTTTTCTTTAGATATGTAACTCTGTGGGGCACAAGACAGTTTTTGTTGTGTAAGACTAACTGTGGAATATCTAGCATATCTTACCCCTGTAAATGCTGGTAGCATCACCTCAGTCATTGTAACAACCAAAATGCCTCCAGAAATTTCCAAAATTTCTAGAATGCTTCCAGGTGTTGTTAAGGCCTACTGAGAATCACTAGCTTAGAGAAAAACATGAACTGAAACCATTATTCGTATAATAGATTGTTTCTAACTAGAATGGCAAGAGTGACATTACTAATTACATCCTTTGTATTGGAGTGTCAAACCTTCTAAGAACTTAAATATTTCTATCAAGGTAAAATGAAGGGAATTTTGATTTTTAAGTGCTTGAAGGGCTTGGTAGCCAAGAACTATGTCAGCTAAAGGCATAAACTATGGTCTCTGATGAATGTAGCATCCTTATGAAACTTGGAAGAAATTGAATTTGCTTGGTTCCATAGGTAATCCAAAGTCCTGATTTTTATGGATCCATTCTGAGTAGATATGTAGTTTATATTCATTCTGAGTAGATATGTAGTTTATATACATTCAGGTGTTTTAGACTGCCTGTCACAAAAACTCCCAGGACTAAGATCAGAAGGAAATCCATTTGAACTGCCCTTCTCCATCGGCCATTTCTGTCTTACCGCAGGCTCCCTATCCTTTGCCAGAACAGCCTCTTACTTGAGCAGCTTAGTTGATAGCAATTCATATATTTATATGGACATATCTGACTTGTATTTTTAGCCAAAATTAGGCCTGTAGCAAGATCTAGGATACCTAAACCCTTATTTTGGTTGGTGCTGTTGAGAAATGTTAGATTTTTAGGTGGCACCTGTTTTTTTGAGTGTAACTTTTATGCGAGTTAGAACATTCAATAAATAAACTGGTTAATATTTTTAATAGGGATGGGGAAAAGACGAAACTATAGAATGCTTTGTCTTTTGCTAGGAACAGTACTAGATATTTGATGACATGTGCTTTTAGCTATCAGAATCTAGAAAGTGATTGGTTTATTTACTTTTTAATTTTTATGGTACATGTAGCAGCTCTTTCAAAGTGGTACAAGAAAACTTCATGTGCAGCTGTTGTAAAAAATAAATATATTGAAATTGTGAATCCTAATGACCTATGAATGACAGAAATTTTCATCACTATAAGTCTAATTACCTATAGTGATGTGAATATAATTTTACTAACCTACTGTGAATATAAAAAGTTTTTTTGGTAAGTGTTTAACCTGTTAAAATGATTTAGAATACTTTTTTCTCTGTCTCTCCAGCTCTTTTCTCTCTCCTTCCTCGAGGCAGAACTACACGTAAATCATTCCAAAACAATTAATGCTGCTTTAGTCACAAATTATTGATTTTTCTGTTCATAGTGTATGTAGAATTGCTGCTCTACTTAGATTCTAAAATGAGGCGTTTTAATTGTGTTTTCCAGGAAGATATGAATTTAAATGAAGATAAAAAGGCACCATTGCGGGAAAAGGACTTCAGTATCAAAAAAGAAATGGTGATGCAGTACATTAATACTGCTTCTAAGACAGTAAGTAAAACTGTCAAGTTGAAAAATACAGCTGAACATGTTGTAGTATGGAAAACAATGCATTTGTCTAATGAAGTGCTTAAGGTTGTAGGCAACAATAATCAGAGGACTTCTGAATTTATAAGGGCATGAGTACTATAATTTATTTAATTTAAAAATATTTCTCATAACTTCTAAACTACTTTTGTTTTTTTAGCTAGTTACATTGCTAAGAAACACTGTGGTGGGTCTACATTAAGACACTTTTCCTCATTACTGAATTAAGATGGTTATTGATTTCTAATGTTACTTATAAACAGGGATAATATTTGTATTATAAAAAAGTAAGAATGATTTTATTGTAACTATCTAAATCACATACATAATAGTGGCTTAGAGACATATCTTTAATGTGAGTTTCCCTATGGCTAAAATTATCTTGTAACAAATTATAAACATAGGTATTTAAAGGAGCATTAAGCCTCCACAAGGCTGCCAATTTTCCAGGGGAACATAAAATATGTGGGTGGAAGTAATGACTAAATGTTTAAGAAACCATGACTGGCACACAGAATCAATTGCATTTATTTCATGGAACAACAAATGAGCTTGGCTAATAATATACAAATTGTGAATAAATGGATTGGATGAAAACTATAAAATGGAAGCCAGTGAAGAAGCAATCAGTAGAACGACAGCAGAAAATGATTTTGGCTGAATTTAAAATGGAATTGGATTAGAAAAGTAGCTTAACATACTAGTTTTCATTGTATACTTTAACCTAAGGCCAGGTTACAAGAACATAAGTTATTTATATTTTAACTCCATTTATCTACTAGACCAGTCAGTGACTCTGAGGTATTTCTTTTGGAAGAAAATCTCAAATGATGTTAATTTTTAAATATGTCTCATGTTTTGGCAGCCTGGTTTCAGGTCTGGAACTCACTGTGAGTACTGCACTTTTTATGGCTACTTATATAGATGGGCTATGATTCCTGCTATTGTGACATTGATAGTAATTGCTTTTGTCTCTCAATGATACTTAGATATCACAAATTGGCATTGGCGATTTAGGAATCAGAGCTCTGGTGTTTTGGATCTGCTTATTTATCCTCTGTTTGACCTTGGGTGTTGTCTTTTACCTTTGTGATTCTCGTTTTCCTCATCCATAAAATGGGAAGATGTACATCATGGACTTGTTATCAGAATCAAATTGTTTATTCCACAATTAGAACATGACATATTTTACAATGGATGGCTGCCTTCTGTGGTAGCAGTGGCGGTGGTAGCAATTGTTCAGTTTTCTTTGTGATTTGTTTATTATACCATAATTAAAAATGTAGGAAGAAGTATATTAATGAAAATAATTTGCTATTGGTGAGTCCACATTTCTAAGACATTTATTTGTTTATTCAACACACATTTATTAAGTGCCTATGTGTCTGGCAGTATTTTAGGCACTGGCAATGGGGGCACCAAGATAGTTTATCACTGTATCTTGTTGAGCAGCATTGGACACATAATAGAAACACACAAACACATAGGTAGAGGAGGTGAAATGTGATGTGGGAAAAAAAAAAGCAGGTTTTTTGTCTTTGTAAATGTTTTGTACAGTCGGTGATGACTACCCCGTTAGGGAGTTTTAAATCTAACAAGCATGAAATCTTTTACTATAATTACAAGAGATGCTATGTCAGTTAGAACTGGTTTAGAAAACCTTGGCATAATAGTGCATTTTAATTCTTGAATTTGAGATAAGTAGACTTTTAAGAGTCAAGCAAACCATTTTGAACTTTGTTATAATGGCACTATTTGAGTTTGCATTCACTAATTTTTAACTTTAATCCTTTAATCATTTTGCACTAAGGTTGGAATTTGTTTATCAGAATTAGGTAATTAAATTATCAGGATTGAAATAGATTAGTTATCTAAAGTGTGATTACAGCATTGACTCATTTAATTAGCGTGTGGAGGATCGTGGCTGTTACTAGGAAGGTTCTGAATAATTTGGCAGATGGTTAACGTTATAGAAAGTTCAAGCTGACCAGTCATTTATTTTTGTGCTGGAAGTAGAAACACATTTTATTAACTCCAGGGTACAGACTTTGTCATGCCACTTTATGTTAATGGCTATTGAAAAAGTTACTCTGAGCAAAACAGAATAAAAATTCATATATTGGTTGTTCTAGAGAAAATATGAAAAGGATAGAGGATAGAAAAGGTATACTTTTATGACTTTAGGCTTAGAATTTGCTTTGAGGTTCTCTTTTGTGTATAAACATTAATATTATGTTTTGGAAAGTAGTATTGTTTCCTATAGTTTATGGTTTGAAAATGCTTTAGAAACATTATTCCTCAAAGTAGGCCTAAAGTAGGCTTGAAATAGATAAGGTTGGTTTTTAGAATATTAAAAAAAAAATGCCATCAATCAGGATTATTTTCAAGACCTTAGTAAGTCTGGGTTTAGGTGGCCAATAAAATAAATAAAATAAAAACAACTTATGTAGTTAGGAAGGATTATTATAATTTTATTAAGAAAGTGTCATAGTTAGAGGCTGAAAATACCAGATTTGCATTTTTTTTTTTTTTTTTTTTAACTTCTTAGGGGAATGGGTATGTGACCCAGGTTTGTGCAGTATAATCTAGTGGGCGGGGATTCTGAGAAAGGTTTTTCTCCTTTAAAAGGATCTTGTGTAGGAGAGCCACTTTTTTCTGCAGTTGGATACAATTGTGAGAGGTTGGGGATGCTTGACATCATGGTGCTGCTGCTCTGGCTTAATGCAGTCCTGTCTCCAGACTCTTCATTATATGAGGTGATACATGTTCTTATTGAAGCTGCTTCAGGCTTTTTCTTTGCTGCTGTAAGCATCCTGGTATATCATCCACATATGTTTTTGCCTATTTTGTATCTCTCTAATTCACTGTGGAAATTACTGTTTCCATTCAAAGGAACATCTTAGGACCTTCCCCTCACCAGTGTATGCTCACTCAGAGCATAGATGAGAGAGGGTACTACAAGGCCCTTTGATCGTACCCTGATAAATTACTCAACTTAGCTGTTTAATGGAAAGTTTATTGGAGAAAACGTCTTTCATAAAGAATCCAGACTTAACTTTTGTTTGATTACACAGCTAGGGATTGAGACTATGATGCAGTTAGTGTAAGAACCTTCAAGGTAGGATGTGATATGAGAAGCAAAATGGAAGAGGATCCATAGTTCGCAAACAATACAAGAAGAAGAACATTCTAGACCACAACAGAGTATGTTCTCTTAAGCCACAACTGTCTAAGGATTTTCACTATTTTATAAATGGAAGGGAACTAAAATTTAAATATACAAATCATGTGGTATTGTTCTCATTCTTTATTATGGTTTAATTCTTTTTAATCCCTATCTTCTTTCAAAATGTTTAAAGCACAAATATTGTTAAAAGATGATTTTTTTGTAGTCAAGATTCTTGTGTTTGAATGGACAAACCAAGCTTAGGAGATATATTCTAAGGGAGTTGGTGCATTCACTTAGTTTTCTTTTCCCCTTTTCTTTTTGGGATGAGTACATCATATCCCAGGTCTGTGATACCAGTGTTTATGTTGGTGCTTATTTTCTTGTATGTGCTTGAGATGTCTTCAGGATGAGCTGTTTCTGGGTATATCTGGATAATGTGATAAAGTCTCTCATAATGGGGGTAATCGGAGACCATGGGTTAATTTATGCATAATTAAAGAATATATTAAAAAGGATTCCTGTTCAGAATAGGATTTAGATTACTAAGATACTTTTTTTCCTCCTCTATCACAAAGGATTAGTAAAAAAAAAAAGTACATTATACCTTTCCTATCTGTCAAGAGGAAGGAGTCTTCTATTATATTTGCTGTTCTACTTTTAGGTTTCTTAGGGTAAGCTGTGGCAATAAAAACTAGAGAAGTCCTGAGATGCCATACCCTATATCCCAAAAAAGTGGATATTTGAAAGAGGAAGAGGTTCAGAGGGGGCAGAGGGAGTGAGGCAGGAGAATCAGGGAGGCCAAGTTTGAGAGATAGGAAAGGAGGACTAGAAAAATGTCTGGTCCTCTGTGAGAGGTGGGGTTTTTGCGAGAGAGTGAGAGAAGTATAAAGAGCTTTTGAGGGAAATTCTGTTTCATGCTATGTAGTATAATGGGTTTATTACAGCTCTAAGAACCCATCAGTATAGATGAGCATTTGCTTTAGTAGTTCTATTCCCCCCCCCAGTTTATTTTTGTTTATCAAGATGATGCAACTGTCCAGACAGTTTACTTACATTCAGATTATAACTGGACTGTTACCTGTTAGCATGTAGTCTTTTTTTTTGGCTGTACCATTAGATGTGGATAAAATGCTTTAAAAAAATTTCTCTTTGAAATTTCTACTTCAAATTAAAAGCCCTTTTGGATACACTGGCTTGGAATCAGAGGTTGTTACAGGCTGCCCAGCTACCCTCATCTACATGTCATTGGTGTCTGTATTATAGCTCCAATAACATGCTTATTTTAGGTGGGCCAATATCAAGGGACAGCCTAATCTTGTATTTATTTCTAGGAGTCTTAATTAGAACATCTACCCTTTGTTTTTTATTTATGTTTAGTTTCTTCTCTTTTGATTTTTTTTTCCAGGGGAAGAAACAGAACTCTTCTTTTATAAATGTTCCTACAAGTTTGCTAGCTCCCTCTGACTTTTTCAGTTTTTTTCTTTCCTAGTCAAGCTGGCTTCTAAGTGAATGTGAGGGCTTTTCTGAGGCATTTATTGGAAAAGTTTGGGTAAAGTTTAACTTTATTCTTTGAACCTTTCCTTAAGTATTGCTGTAGTTCTTCCCTAGACTTTTTAAATAAGAAAGTTAAATATTAAGTATTAAAGAACATAACTTTAAAAGGCACAGAGAAAGACCATAACAAAAGTTATAATCATTTTTAATATTCAAAAGACTAGAACAGCATGTTGAAATGACTGAGTCTACATTGAGTTTATAAGTGTAGGATTATAGTTTGTCATACATGCGTGTATGT